ACCACATACAATTCAATTAACAGCAATATCATAAAATATTTAAAAACGGCATATCTTTCGAATTTCCGATAAACAATCTCGGGGGCTGGAGATAAAAGTTTTTTCCCCCGTACAGTGTTGCCATTGCTCGCTTCGAAAGAATTTGTTAATAAAAAATTCGTTAAAGTTTTACAAAATATTAAATAGATAATAAAACAATTTTCAAATTCAGTATTCGGGTTTCTAGGTGCCTCTGTTCGGATGGAGGATTGCGTGGATGGCTCTAGGTACCGTCCTGTTTTCACAGTGAAAGAAATATACATACATTGAGATTCTTCATTGCTTGATTTCTTTAAAACATAAAACAAGGCGATAATATTTGATGGCAACAATTTAAAAGTGATACACCGTTTGTAATGAACCGACGCAAAATGCAGTTTCGAGACTAATAGTCCTTCAGGACTAACACTTTGGGCTTTAAAAAAGATGCATGCCAACATTTAACACTGTATCAGGAGTTCTAAACATCTGCTGCTTTCCTGCTTTTAAAATTTTTTTGATTTAGAAAGCAGTGCTTAATAGTAAAGCTAAAAACATGTACTACAAAAAAGGGAATGAACCGCAAAAAAGGAGTGAATGTAAGAGCATAAAAAAACCTTAGGCGACCATTAAAATTTGAAATTATTTAATCTATTATTCCCCTTCACCTACATAATAAATTCTTTTTCCTTTTTAATGCATTCATTATCGTATCCATTTTAAATGAAATCTTACTGTATAAAATCCTTTCTTTAACTGCAGTTTTATTTTTTTAGCCTCAATGACACCTTTCAGTGATGAAATTCTTAGTTATTATTAAAACAGAAGCAATAAAATGCTATGAAAATTCGGAAATTGATAAAAACAACTGAATGCAATTCAGATAATGAAGCAATCGCTTTGAACATTCAATTTCGGAAATTGGGTGCAATAACAATGTTACATTAAAATTAAAATGAAAAAAATAATATCGCCAGTTCTTCATTAAGGCTTCGAGATGGCAAATTTCGTCATTAATTAAGCAAATATAACAAATTCATACGCAATTACTTTGATTCACAATACGTCGCATTTTTTTTAGAAAAATGTAGAAAGTCGCTCTTTTAATATTTTAATATGTTTTTCGTTCATGTTTCAAAAGAGAGCGAAACGTTTGTTTCATAATCTGTGAAAATTTCAAAACTTTCTATCCGATACTTTTTTAGATGATGGAATTTTAAAATCGCAAATTCCAAATAGTCTAAAAATTGAGGAATTTTCAAAAAATTCTGAAGCATTCTGTTCATACAAGTTTCATAAAAAAAAGGTTCGCCCCCCCCCCGCTTTACTGCAAGGAGCGAACAAATAATTCTGATATGCTTAGTTTGTCCGTTTAACGAAGATATGTGAAGAAACTCGCTTAAGTGTTAAATATATAAAATATAAAAAGCAAATCGAATTTTACAGGATAAATTACTCTATTACTTCGAATTTAATCCGCTTTCGAAGTGAAACGAAAAATTTCAAAATTGAAAATAATAATTCATAACAAAAAGTTTGAATTAACGATGTCCATAAATTTCGTTGTATCCGATTTTCATACACTTGGCAGTTCGCTATAACCGTATAAAATAACAGTAAAGTGTAAGCGAAATTACAGTAGATATCGCTTAGTGTGATCGCGGTTAATATTAGCATTCGGATATTATTCACTAATAATTCACACACAATTCACTAATAAATTGCCGAAGTGCCGTCCGTTTGTATGCGTAAACATGGGAAATACATCGCTTATCGGGATTTACAATTCGGTTAATGCAATCAAACTATTACAGAAAAAAAATTTTTAATTGAAGTAAGGTCGCCGAATAAGGGCAAACTACATGATAGAAAAACCAAGTAACCAGGAAATGTCGTCAAGTAATGAGTTAAGTCGCCAAACAATTTGGTTCTGATTTCAGTCAAACCTTTAAAATTTGGTAAAAAAGTAACCTTAATTTTACATAAATTTTGAATAATTATCGATTTTGAGGACGATTAGACTCAAGTCAACCTTCTTCAGAAGGGAAAAATATCTGCAGAATATGTTTTCTTTTCCCTTGGGGGAAAAATGACTGAAAAACCCCACTCCCTTAATTAAAAATTTTGCATTTTCTCTTTCAGTGATGGATGCCTTCCTATGTTACGATGGAGGGTACAGTACCGATGAAATACTTTTCAGAAAAATTATGAACATAAAATGAATTTTTGCACTGAGGCCATAATGAACAGCTTAATACAAACTTTTGCATTTTTCTAATTAAAATGCTGTGAAAATTACTATGATTCTTGATATTTGTTTATTAAATTAGTTAACTTCCATAGCTATCCTGAAGGAATTTATAAAAATTGTTTAATGCTATTAAAATAGCCGTGGACAAATATTATTAATAAAACTGGTAAAAGTGTTACCAGTTTTTAGATAGATATAAAAATTGGAATAAATGTTTAATTTTATTTACCTAATGTTACCTAATCTGTGTTTATAACAACTCAAGACCCAAATTTAGTCTAGCGTTTCCTGAAGATTTTAGAACCTACAAAGTATTTAGCAATGACAATTTTCGAAACACTGAAATGGAAAATTGCAAGATTGAAAATAAATATAATTAATAAAACATTTGTATAGAAGATATCCATAAGTTCATTATATTCGATTTTCCTATCTTGACTGTTCCGTAAAACAAAATAATAATAAATTTTATATCCTTGGCTATAATCTCATAAAATAAGTATATAGAATATTAGACGGGAAAAGTTTCGTTCATTACATTCGGAGATTCATTTAGATTTGAATTTATTTTCGTTCATTATATCGGGAGACTCGTTATCAACCAGGTTTGCTACAGCAGGATTTGAGTGCAATTACTTCTAATGCGGGACCTTCTTAGAGTTCAATTATTGACACAGTTCAGGGTTTCCTTTAAGTTTCCTATAACGGCATAAAATACCATTAAAGTGTATAGGAAACAAGCTGAGACTCAAACTATCATTTGTTATATCCGAAGGTTCGCTACATCGGGATTTGAGTGTTGCATGACCTTCTATACAATTCGCCTTACTGACATTTCAGTATTTCTTTTGAAACCGAGACAGCACATACCAATCTTGCAATTACGTAGCAGGAAAGAATGCCACACCGATACTGCCTAACGATCTCCCGCCGATTCCTAACCCACATGCTTACCATTACTTCCATTAGCCAGCCCGCCCTGGGATACTGCAGTACTAATGAGACACCAATGAGGCAGAAGTGAGTGGAATGCGAAAAATTAGTGACGTCTTCATCCAGCAAAGGATGGCCTATCTCTGACAACATTCACGAAAGTCCTTCATTAGAAACATGCAGGGAAGCTAACGCCAAAAGCACATCTACAGTAAGAGAAAATTATCGTGTCGTTGAAGGCACGTTTCACTTTCCACATTTTTTCTAACCATATTTTTTTACGTACAGCGAATGATTGCCGAACGCGGATTTACAAAACGCGATGTCCCTTATACGCGTTATTTTAACTGTTTTCATTAACTTTGGCCAATGCTAGAATTTCGTTAATAAGAGGGTCAACGTTTTCATTCATCAACACTGAACACTTGCTGCCATCAGCCTTGGCCAGAAGTTAGCAGTTATTTTAAAGGATTTCCATCGTTTGAAAATGAAGCCAAAAGAACAGTATAAAATGAAAAAGCAATTGGCAGTGAATGATTTTCAGGTATGGAAGGAGATGGTGCAGGGGGGGGATGTTTCTACTAGGTGGGGCGAGGAACGCTCTTGGCGATACATTATTGGGAGCGGAATTTCCATCATAAAACATTACTTATAGGGGATGAGGATAATGAAGAAGCATGAAACACTGAACTCCCACACGAAATTAAATTAAGAGAGGAAAAAAGGTTTTTCACTATATAAATGTATAGTGTAGAAGAGTTTTTTTCTTTCTTTTTAAAGTATTCAAAGAAATCACAAGATTTCAACAGCTGCGTACTCATATTATGCCTTTTTTATGCCTTCGAAAGTTTTAAATGCAAATTACGAATATCAAATTATGATCATGGTGACATTCATAAGAAGTTCTTCTTTAAGAGAGAATTTTATTTCATAATTTTATTTTCGTTATTGATAGGGAAATCGAAACACGCACATGGGAAGAGTGTCCCTTTGGAATCTCCGCAGTTTATTCTAAAATCCAATCTCCAGCAATGTTCCAAATATTAAATGCTATTGAGAACGTTCCTCACAATTGCTGTAAGCGCTGCTAGTCGTGAGCAGCGTTTTCTAAATAAAAATCATTTCAGAATTATTTAAGAACTTTACACGTATTTACATTCCATTTAAGAAAGATGTCTACGATGTCATCAATGGCTTTTCAGAAAAAAGAAGACAAAATACTAATTTAATTTTAAAATGCTGGAACATTTTTTTCAACTTTTACTTATTTATTTGTATATCAAAAGAAGCAAAAAATTCAGGGACCGCTCCAAGCGGCAAAAACAAGGACCGCCTCGGGAGGGAAAAGTTCTAGTTACTTCAATGGAAGAAGAAGTCGAAGAATTAACAGAGAAATGACGAATGAAGAACTAAATGATCTTAAAACACTACCAGGCACAAAAAGCAACAGTAGCGAAGAAAATGATAGAGCGCCTTTAACTTACAAGCGGTTCAACGAATTTTTAAAGGCAGAGGAAGTCCGAGTTCACAACTGAGATTGACAAAAATGGGGGGAGAGGAGAGAACACTTAGAGAAAGGCATCAATGGATGCGAAAATAAAGGGCGAGTAAGGACTTTTGTGGAAATGGTGCATATTTCAATATATACATTTATTGGTTATACAAATTTTTGGTAGAGTTATGAAAATTCAGTTATTTCAAGGCTAATTCAAAGACTACAGGTAAGCATTCCTGGCGAATATACAAGACCTTACTTTGACATTTAACAACAATAACAAAAAAAAAAAAAAATTGTTACCTTCTCCAGAACAGGTCTTGCAGCACCTTTGCGGCAATAAAACGGGATCTTCACATGTAGGCTTTGGGCAGTCATTTTTGATGTTTTTGCAACGCACTCTGGACATAATCCTCCTCTTTCGTTGAACCTACAAAATGGAAGAAACGATATAGAATTCGTATTGACGTTCGGTCACTTAGCGTTAAATGCATTTTCAGGTATATTTACCTGAAAATGCATTTAATTCTATTGTTGTTTTTAAATTCTCCAACAGGTATCCCTCGTATAACACGGTATACAGGTTTTTAGAAAATATCGTGTTGGGTGAAACTGCATTATATGAAACTAAAACCCAATATAAAATAGTAGGATATGCGCTCTAAAAACTTTTAAAACCTTTTTTTTTTTTTTTTTTTTTTTTTTTTAATGTACGATGGCATAGTACATTTTAAATGGTTCTCACTATTGCCTCGTTTAAATTTACATTTTTTGGAACATCAGATGCCTTTTTGCCTTTCAACAAACGATTCAAAATTTGTACTTTCCATTTTCAAAGAAATAAATTTTCTTTCAAAAGTTGCTTTCTTACTTTCAGAAGTTTCTTCCAAAATCAAGATTACGTAATTTATGTAATCTACCAGTTGAACACTTGAGGCGCGGTATGTACACTGCATAAATGATGGGCACAACCCAATTTCAAAAGAATTTCGATACGAGACTGCGGGTATTCCCAGAATTTATTTTATTGCTGTGTGTTAGGTTTTTATTTCTGTGTACAGTTGTTATTAAGTACTACACACGCTGGCATAATATGTAACTTAATATTGTATATGTTTAGAAAGAAAATCGTATCATCTAAGTACATACAGTACATACAAATAAGTAATAAGTACATACAAAAAGATGTTTTACACACATTTTCATTAGTTTTTATTTATGATACCGTGTTGCGTGCTATATGTGGGTTTCTGCCATTTTCTTATTACGTAAGAGTGAAAGCGTGTTATAAGACGGATACCTGTAATCTGTTTTGTATTGTTTTTATTCATTTGTTTAATTGTTGCATTTCAGCTAACAACTTTAGTAGATATTTTTATTCAGTTGAATTCGTGGTCACATGTTTTGTACATAAGTGTTTACTTTTGTATATAAGTATTCCGAATCCAACAACGTATAAAATGTTAAAATATCTCTTTGTTAATTTTCATATAAGAGATTAAAGAACAGAAAAGAATTTTTTCTTCTATATGTATGGAGACAACATTCTTGAGAGTGACAAGTCGGCGGTTTTTTAAATAAGTCTTGACAGCTGGTGAAAGGGGTGAAAAATCATATCTAAGGCCAGTTTCAGACGAGGAAAGAAGAAAATATTTGAAATCTGTAGGATTATAAAGTGGCTATATATTGTACCGAGGGCTCTGGAAACTTTTAGAAGAATCGGTCGAAAAGTTTCGAAAACGTGATTTCGCAAATCCTCCAAAAAATCCTCCAAATCTCAGAAGTAGGAATCCGCCCCTACCTCCCATTCTACTTGAGCTATTTTTACAACTCAAACGTTACTGCACTCGGAATTGAAAGATCTACAGTTTTAAACATGCATTAAATTCATAAATGCATAACACGTGACCAAATTCGACTAAACAATTTACAATATTCATTCAGAAGGAACAGAACAGTACATTAACCCGGATAATCCGACAGTACTCTGCACACGTAATTTTCTAATCGACTCTCATCTATGACAATTTTGTTCTTTTCAAAGAGTTCATAATTTAATAGCAAAAATTAACAATCAAAACTTTTCCCCGATTTCATTTTCAAGGTCTTCCACTCTGGTTTCTTTCTATTTCGGTCTGGCAGATCCAAAATAAAAAAGGATTTATTTCTAATGCGGAGCCATTTTGAGGCAATTATACAGCCGGGTCACTTCGAGATGTCAAATCTGCAATGAAACCATCGTTAAGAATAAAGGCCATTAGTTAAAAATAAAGTATTAACTGAAGGCAAGAGAAAGAAAAGTGAAATCTTATATCTTTTCTTCAAAGATAAACAGTCCTTGCAAAGAATATAAACAGAACGTCATCTTGAAATGTAACCGAGAAAAACACGATAGAAACTTTCCTAGAATTAATCTGAGAAAGCGAAATAATAGAGAAAGAAAGAAAGAAATCCCATTGACTGAAGTGAGAACTCTTTTTATCTATTTTCTTCTTTTCTCGCAGGACGTGAGCATTCAAATATTTACAGTGCCTTGTAAATATTTGAATCTTTTCTGATTGCATTTTTGTTTTTCTGGATTATTGTGTTCTGTGGTGTTTTATATACGTATTTTATTTATATTGATATTTTTGGGTTTATAATAATTTGTGGCCAGTGTACTAAAGTCTTTTATTACCTGGAATTGCAGATCTTTTGATTCTGAATGCAACAAAGTTGGAATTGTAAAACAGCTCGATTAGAACGCGAGATATGAGCAACTTCGTTTGTTCTTAATGGGTCTTGGGAGCAAAACAGATCACATTTGATGGTTTTTTGCCACCTTGATGATTTCCTACATCAGTTATCTCAAACTCACACTCCCCGAGGGCCGCATTGCACTATCTGAAACGAGCTCAAGGGCCAGAACTGTTTTAATAAAATTAAAAAAAAATTATTAATAAAACAAAAAATACTTTTAATAAATTTTAAATTTTTTCTTGCTCAATATTTTTTTACAAAATAATAATATCGCAAATCAAAAATTAAACTGACATTTATTTTCTATTTGTATTTGAGAGTTGGGCAACTGCGAAACAAGTTTTTTAGTACACTTTGTAATACAAATATATTGACAACTAAATATTAAATTTTCGGACTCTTTAAAACAATTCTAACATATTTAATTAATAATTAAATAGCTTTAATTTAAACCGAAAGATATTATGAAACTTTTCAGAGAAGATTTGCCAAACGGGACAAAACTTGAGATTAACTCGACAACTTAGCCTCTCTCTGTTATTTATTAAATTTTTCTTCGAAACATAAATAAAAATACATATGCTTGTATGTAAATTATAAACCTTTTTTTTTATTTCTTATTGCAGCGTAATAGAGAGAGTAATTACTAGAAATGTTCTTTTTACGGATTGTAAGACGCTCACCGGTCAGTCGGAAGTAGTGGGTAAAGGCCGATTCTGGAACAATAGAAGCTCCGCAACTTCTCACCTCCCCCTCCCTCCTCCTTCCAAGCGCTCATGGAGGTAGGAAAGGCTTACTTCCTACCTCCATGCAAGCGCTCCTCTTCCCCACCCCCTCCCACTCCTTCTCATCCCGCAACCCCACCCTTTCCCTTCCAAGTGCTTTGCTTCTTCCCTCCTCCCACCTTCTACTACGGTCAGAGAGAAAGTCTTGTCAAAGCGGTTTCGTCCGAATGTTGATGAAAGGGACATTAGTTATTATTTTACTTAATTGCAATAAATTAACTGAATTTAAACAACAATATTCAGGAATGCTCCTTTTTTTATGTTAAAAACATGTGCCTTTGCGAATACGTTGCAATCTGTTGTTATACTTATTCAAATAACCTAATAATACATCGTACCAAAATTAATATTTTGATCATTTTTTTTTTCTTTTTTTGTGTATGTGTGATTAAGGTCAGTTCTCAGAGATAAATAAATTTAAACAGAAAAAAGTGTAATATCGATATTAAACCTCTAAATTACAGTTATTAAAGTAAATGGAAGAAACTTTCTCTGTGAAGATAAAAAGCAAATTTATTAATTAACACGGTATAAGGATATAACGCAAACCTTCCTTAAGACTATCTTGTTGTTTATATTCAGTTAATTTATTGCAATTAAATAAAATAATAAGTAATGTCCCTTTCATCAACATTCGGACAAAACCGCTTTGACAAGACTTTCCGTCTGACCCTAGTAGAAGGTGGGAGGAAAAGGGTGGGGTTGGGGGATGAGAACGAGTGGGAGGAGCGCTTGGAAGGAGGAGGGAAGGGGAGGTGAGGGTGGAGAAGTTGCGGAGCTTCTATTGTTCCAGAATCGGCCTTTACCCACTACTGTCTGAGAATTTTTCTAATTAATTTTCGACTGTATTAAAAAGCCGCTCAAATATTTAATAAGCTGTTAGAATTGTTAATTTTCTCTAACTAATTTTTTACCAAACATGCATAAACAATAATAATACCTGACAAAGTGATAATTCTTAAAATAAAAATTCGCAACTGGTTTATTTTTTGAGCAGCACGAGAGAAAGTTAGTAAATTCTGTATTTTAAAATTTTTGAATAAGATTTATATCACATCGTAAATCAGTTAGCTCCATTTATAGGTTTTCCAATGTGTTTTTCACGTTAGTTTTTAATAATAATAAAAATAATATGAACTCGGACTTCATATAACACGTGCTCTACTGAATTCAAGTCCGGTGAGAATGCTGGCCAGTCCATACGGGTGATATCCTCCAATTGAAGACATTCGCTTACGATGTTTGCACGGTGAGGACGGGCGTTTTCATCCATAAACACAAATTGTGCGCCCACGGCGCCCCGAAACAAACGTACATGTTGTTCCAGAATGACGTCCCGATAGATTTGGCTTGTCATGGTTCCAATTTGAACATGCAGGTCAGTTTTCGAACCCAGAATAATTCCACCCAAAACGAGCACTCCTGCACCACCGTAACGGTGTCGTTCAATGATGTTTTCTTAGTGGTAACGGGTACCTGAAGCTCTCCATATGAAAGTCCGGCGAGAATCAGACTGCAAGCTAAACCTGGACTCGTCGAAAACATTACACAAGCCCACTGTTGCGGTGTCCACAATGCATGCTCTATACTCCAGGATAACCGCAGGCAAAGTGAGTTGCAGTAAGTGGAACGCATCTGACAGATCTACGAGTATATAGACCAATCTGCCCTAAGCGTCTGTACACGGTCTGTCTTGAACTTGTCGTACCAGTGGCTGAAGAGAGTTGACGAGACAGATCCGAGGCTGTACTCCGCCTGTTTCTTTTGGCAGTAACTGCCAAATACCGGTCCTCATTCGGCGTTGTAACTCTGGGGCGACCTGTGCTGTAACGTCTACTCACATTACCATCATCTTGAAATCGTTGCCAAAGCCTGGAGATGACATTCTGGGCAATTCCAAGTTCGT